AACCAACCCCCTAAACACACACACACACACACACACACGAATGCATGCACACACACATGCGTGTTCACACACACACACACACACACCCCTGTCCTCTTTCTGTCCCTTATATTCTAACAAGGATACCTGTCCTTGGGGCAGGTGGTACTCACTGCCTTTGTTCTTTGGTTGTTTTTCTGAACTTTCCTCCCTTTTTGTACATTCTTTGATTTTGACTGAGTGCTTTAGATGGTCTCATTTTCTTTTCTCCTAACCTGATCAGTTAGACTTCAAATGTCTCTTTGGCATTTAAGAAAACAGCAGAAGGAGGGTCGGTTCATGTCCTGCTCCAACCTAGTGCTGCAGTAGAAGCTCACAAAACAGCCCCACACTGCTTTCTCGGGGCACAGGGAGCCCCAAGAGGAGTTCTCTTCTGTGCCTCTGGACATTACTGTCATTCATTTCTCTTTTCCCCGACCTATGACCAATCAGTATGTTGTTCCAGATGATCATAAGAAAAATATTTTATTTTACGTTTATTCCTTTGTTGACATGCTTTTCTTTCTGTAACTCTGAATCTTTGACTTGTCATTTTCATTCCCTCTGTATAGCTTCTTCTTCTTTTTTTTTTTTTTTTTTCCTCGAATGCCTTCAGGGCACTTTTGGCCAGCAGGAGAGTTGTGAGGTTTGAACTCCAGCAACCTGAGGCTGACAGCTTTGTGGAAGCAGCCACTTAAAGGCCTGAGCTAGGGCCAGGCCCCCTCTGTATAGCTTCTTTTTTTTTAAATTTTTTTTAATTAATTAATTAATTATTTATTTGTGTGTGTGTGTGTGTGTGTGTGTGGCCAGCTCAGCCCACCAGGGGGCGGGGCTGGCTGGCATGTGGTGCTGGGGGATTGAACTGTGGTCCCTGTGCTTTGCCAAGCTTGTTCTAAGCAGGTGCTTCAGACCACTGAGCCATCTCCCCAGCCCTCTGTATAGCTTCTTTTAAGATTTTTGGCTGTAGGGGGCCTGGCCATAGCTCAGTTCTTTAAGTGGCTGCTTCCACAAAGCTGTGAGCCTCAGGTAGCTGTAGTTCGACTCCCACAACACTCCAGCCAGACAAACCATGCCTGAGGGCATTCAGAGAAAAAAAAAAAACAAAAAAAAAAAACCTTATTCCGATTTTGGCTGCATGTAGTGGTGCCTGCCTGTAATCCCAGCACTTGGGAGGCTGAGGCAGGAGGATCGCCAAGAGTTCAATATCAGCCTGGGCTACATAGTGAACTGAAGGCCAGTTGGCACTACGTAATGAGACCATCTAAAAAAAAAAAAGAGTGGAGTAGTGAGCGCTTCCCCTATATGACATTTTAAATATTTCATTTGCCTGCTTCTTGCTTGTACTGTTTTGGACAAGAAGTCCAGCGACATCCTTGCTCTCATTCTTCTCTAGGTAGGGTTTATCCCCTATAGGTATTTTTTTTTCCTCTAAGATTTTTCTTTTCTTTAGCTGTCTGCTATTTATGACGCATCTAGACTCGAGTTTGTTTGACTTTGTGTTTATTTTGCTTGTTGTTCTCTGAGCTCCCTGGATCTGTGGCTTCACATTTACCATGAATATAGAAAATCTTCCACCGTTCTTGCTTCAGATTCCTCTGCTGCTCTTTTTTCTTTCCCCTTCGGGTAGTTCCATTGTACACAGCTTAGATCTTCTATAGTTTCCCTTTCACCCTTGGGTATGCTGTTGCGCGGTCTTCATTCCCTTCTTTTGCATTCGTGTTTGATCTCTAGCATTTCCTTTTGGTTTCTGCCTCTGCTCTCATTACTCATCAATTCTGCATTTTGTCTATTTTTCCTTTAGCTTGCTTGACGTATTCATCACACTCACCCTAATCTCTTAGCTGAACTGCGTCAGAGCTTACCTTGATGCCTGCTGTGTTTCTTTAGACTGGTACATTAATTGCATGTCTTGTAATTTTTTGTTGAATGCTGGACATGCCACTCAGATAATGGGACCCGAGCTCATCAGGCTCTGAGTATAGGTTTTATGTCAATTTGACTAGGAGTTGAGCTTTATTTAATATTTATGGAAGCTGCCACAGATTTCAGTTTTCTCTGGTTTTAAGAATTTTTTTTTCCCTTCTCTGTTGTTTTTTGGTTTTCTTAAGAATATTGTCAGAGGGCTGGGGAGATAGCTCAGTAGAATAAGCTCTTCCCTGGCAAGTGCAAGGGCCTGAGTTCAATCCCCGGTTCCCCCGCTCCCAAAAAAAGAATATTGTCAGAGTCTGTGTCTAGTACCTCTCTCAGTTGTAATGTAGTTTTATTATACTAGGATCTGTTGATTTTTTTTTTTTTTAATTTTAGGGAAGGGTCTACAGGGTGTTCAGGGTCTCATTACTAGATTGGACTCGTAGTGATCCGCCTGTTTACAGCCTCCCAAGCACCACACCCAGTCTCAATTGCCATCTCAGGGAGCCCCGGAGGGAAGGACCAGCACAGTAGGCCCAGGGATCGAACCCTGGCTCCTGTACCTGCTTGCAGGCGCTTTAATCTGCTGAGCTATTTGTCCGGCCTTGATGTGGTTTTAAGTGTCTTCTCAAAATTCGTGCTTACCTGGCACCTCAGAATATGAGATTATTTGGAAATGGGGTCTTTGCACATGTAATTAGTTAAGAGGAAGCCACACTAGGTTAGGGAAAGCCCTAAATATAATGACTTTAACTTTTATAAGAAGACAAGGTATGCAGAGACAAAGACACAAAGGTGAAGGAATTCAGCAATGTTACCCTCAAAAACGCCACTCTGGCATGAAGATTATCTTGAGTTCAGTGTACTTAAAAAGACAGCAGGCAGAAAACTGCAGCATTCCCCTCTTCCTTCCTGAAAGCAGGAGATAAAAGCTATCTTTCCCCTGTTAACGGTGTCCTCCCGCCAGGAGGAAAGCAACATTCTTATCATCAAGGACAAAAAATTGAAATGGAAGCAAATCTTTCCAAACAAGTTGTTAGGCTGACTTGTCCTCCCAGTAACTTGTCTATCTATTCAGCTTTTCCAGCCCCGTCCCACCGCCCAATCACCTTGTCACATCTCAGGATCTTCACCCAACTCGGTGTGTGTTTGCTTCTAGTTGTTTCTTTGTGGCCTCACATCTGCTATGGTCTGAACTCTCCTCCATGTGTTGGAAGCTTACTACCCAAGACCAAAGTGCTAGGAGCCAAGGTCTCGTGGCCGATGCGCCCTCATGAACGGATTAGTGCTGTGGTTGAAATAGACTCTGGCGAGCGGCTTTGTCTTTTGCTCTTCTCTCGTGTGAGGATGTGGCACACAGTGCACTGTCTTGGAAGCAGAGACCGGATGCTGTCTTCCAAGTCAGGCCTTGATCTTGGACATCTTGGCCTCTAGAACTGTGAAAAATAGACCAGGTCTGTGGTATGTTAGCCAGTTTGTGGTATTCTATTATAGCAGATCAAAATAGATCTAGACAGTTTCCTCACGGAGGCTTCCATGTTCCACAACGTTTGTGTGCCAACACATATATATGCTTCTCTTTTTTAAAAAAAGAATGTATTTAGTGCAGGGTCTACAGGGTCTCACTACACAGATGGGACTCATAGTGATCCTCCTGTTCTTAGCCTCCCAAGCGCTGGGATTACAGGCGCGCACCCCCACGCTGTCTTATGCTTTTCTCCTGTTAAATTATCTAGGTAAGTTTCGTTCTCAGCCTTAGCTGAAAGCCCTAAGAGGGTAGAAGTAAAATTTGCTTTCATGGAGGAGAGGCTGTGTGATGATGGGGGCAGAGGCTGGAACAATGCAACTGCAGGCCAAGGCGTGAGTCTATTGCCACCAACCACCAGCAATGGGGAGAGGGAGAAGAAGATCGTTCCCTAGCAGAGAGAGAGAGAGAGAGAGAGAGAGAGAGAGAGACAGAGAGACAGAGAGAGACAGAGACAGACAGACAGAGACAGAGAGAGAGAAAGAGACAGAGAGAGACAGAGAGAGACAGAGACAGAGAGACAGAGAGAGACAGAGACAGAGAGACAGAGAGAGACAGAGAGAAAGAGAGAGAGACAGACAGACAGACAGACAGAGACAGAGAAAGAGACAGAGAGAGACAGAGAGAGACAGAGAGAGACAGAGACAGAGAGACAGAGAGAGACAGAGAC